GTAAAAGACTTAATGACTATGTCTGCTCTCCATATTTGAAAGAAGTAATCTGAATGCAATTTTCAAAGTTCTAGTGACGTTGTTTCAAGTAGTGTCACATTTATTAATTATTAATTTATTAATAGGCCTAACTGGATGGTATGGGGAAATATGGACAGCAGCAGTACTGGAACAATGGAAACACCATCTTAGAGTTATCAGAGGACGATCAAAGCCTGCTAAGTTCCCAGACATTTGGCCTGGTTTTAGTAACTATACAAACAATGATCAAACATTCTTGACCAAAAGTCCTGAAATGATATAAAAAAATTCGGGAACATTCTAGCAAGTGGGTAGAGAGGAGGTTTCAAAGATGCAAAGAGGTTGTTTGGTGAGTTGACTAGGCGAGGTTTGGGGAAAGCATAGATCCTGGCAAAGTATCATTGTGGCTAAATAAACTAAGGGTTGTATCCAACAAAATCAATTTGTTTGCACAAGGACTTCTGTTTGTACGATGCAAGTTTCCCTCCCTCTCCTCTCCCATGTGCCTCTTAAATCTGTTTTAGGTTCCCCTCAACCATGTATAGCAGATTGGGGGGGGGGGAGAGGGAGAGGAAGCTCCACGGTTCAAGCAGATACACCCCTAAGCTGTTTTACAAGGTTTTTGTGCAATAGTTCAGTTCTCTAAGCCTAATTTCAAGCCTGACTGCAGGAGTTCACCCCCATTGCTACATGGGCAGAGTCAGTTAATATTATTTTAAGAGAACAATGTATTATTAACTTACTTATATGCAGAATAGATATAGCTACTGGGGTTTATGCCATGTGCAGTCTTCTAAGAATACAACCATTCTTGGTGATAAGTGAGCTCGGCTCCCTCCCCTGTTAATTTTAACAAAGATATTTAGTAAAAACAATATCAAATAGAGAGAACTTTTGGAGATAGTTCCATTTGAAGATGTTTCTACAACAAAACAGTCTTCAGCTTGTGCTCTATTTTTAATGGCTGTCATTGTCTACCAGTAGATATTCTCTTGATACGATGTAACTGTTGTAATGTTATAGTTTGTGTGTGTGTGTGTGCACACACACACGCACACACACAATGTATGCTGACTGTATGCTGACTGCACAGCAAAAATCCGCACAAAACTTTCACTACTCATCCTACATTTGATTTCTTCCTCCATGCATAGAAAATGTATCTAGGAATATGATCTCTTTGGCTACCTCTCCTCCTATTCCTCAAAGTTTATGTATGTAAGACCTAGTGCTTGCTACTTAACAATGCATGGATGTGATGTGGCCCTTGCTAAGAGCGATTCTGATCTACAATAGGTGGCCATGATGGGATGGGATACCAGGATATCTGAAAGACATTTTGCTGAACCAGAGGAACACAAATGAGCAAGTGGTTTGGTGAGGCTTTGCTTAAGAGATAGATCAGAAGGAAGGGTTTTGAAGAATGAAGGGGCAGAGGCCTGATGTGTGTAGGAGATGGAGAGAATTTTCCCAGCATAGGAAATAAAATGCAAAAGGCACAGAGAACACAGAAATCAACAGCAAATGAGCTTGTGCGGATTGAAGACTAGAAGGAGAAGTATGAGAGGGAGATATACACAGTGGGAGAGAAACAAATAGCTTTGTGTGTGTGGATTAGTATATTGAAATCGATATGAAAGCTCATTGGTAGCCAGAGTTAGACTTGAGAACAGAGGAGACGTATGAATAACAATAGGAAAGAAAGACGAGTGGAGCAAAATATAGCAAGTGAGAAACATAGCAAGTAGGAATGCCAGCAGGGAAGCTGCCAAAGTCTAGATGAGAAAAATCAAGGGCACAGACAACTATTTTATCAATAGTTATGGAAGGGAATGGGTAGATAATGGAGAGGCTGAAAGTGAAGTAGGAGGACCATGTGATTGTTTTGGATATGGAAGGAGAAGGATGAATCAAATATGATCATAGTTTTGTATGCTTCAGTGGTGTAAGAGATGACAGCGTCTTTAGCAGTGACCAGTAATTGGTATGAATCAGTGATAGCGTAAGAGGAATGGGTTGAGATGAATGCAGGCCCTTCAAGCACAAATGTTACCTGAGCTGAAAGGCTTTGAAAGGAAGTTCATGATGAAGATGAAAAAAACAAAGGGCAAGGGAGCTGTCAGCATAAAAGCAAAAGAGATCGCCCAAGAAGCAGGGTATGGGGGTGAAAAAGTATCTAGAGAGCTCCATTTCCCCCAAAGGCTATCTGATTTGTGCTGAGGCACCTAAGAGATTTTAGGAGGCCAAATGAAGAGTGAACGTTGTACAAACCATCTAACAGGATTATGCATAATTCTCAAATTACTATATAAATAGACGACAGTTTCTAACATTTGTTTGTTTGTTTGTTAATGGTTCCTATTACTCGTGTAAATGAGTCATTATCTGTGTTAAAGAACAAGGAGGGCTACACCTGTTTCAAAGGCATTTCTTAGCCAACTTTACACAGAATAGCTCAACTTTTCCAATGCGCATCTGCATTTGGTGAGAGGAAAGAATAACAGCAAAAGAACCTACAGGACCATTTCAGCAAATACAGCCTGACATTTTGGGTTCTCTGTCTTTTTCTGTGTATGTGGCACCAGTTAATCACATGTTCATAAAAATACTTTCATGTGAGTCAGGCCGATGGCATTAACATTCAGTGCAGTTGGGGAAAATAAATGTAAAAGGTCTGCTGGAAACGCTCCATTGTAGCTCTTTCTCAGTAGCCTGTCAGACAATGCATAAACCTGTGACCTCTTTTGTACACAATTACAATGTATCTCTTCAATCTAAAGCCAGATAATTACAAGGTTACAGAATCCCCTGGCAGGCTGGAAGAAAGGGTTACTCTCATTTTCTCCTAAAGGCGCTGGGGTTCTGCCGTGATAGAAAGGTACGTCTGCTTAGTATGTGGGGGAATGGATATGACGGGCTGGGTGTGTCGCTATTGTCACCAATTTGCCAAATGGAAAGGGAAGGCAAATTGTGCAAGCCCTATTGTTCATCTATCCTTCAGTTATTCTTTACAATTAATCTAAAACCAGTTTTCTCATTGTCACAGTGCATGACAGAAAAAGTCCAATTTTGTACAGTCTTACAGTCCTTTTGAAATTTTATTTTTATAGAACTCTAGAGTTGGAAGGAACCCCCCAGGGTCATCTGGTCCAATCTTCTTTTGAATGTCTTGAAATGATGATGATGATGATGATGATGATATTTGTACCCCGCCCATCTGACTAGGTTGCCCCAGCCACTCTGAGTGGCTTCTGGCATATACATATTAAAACATTAAACTTTAAAAACTTCCCAATACAGGGCTGTCTTCTAAATGTTGTATAGTTATTTATATCCTTGACATCTGATGGCGGGTGCCACTACTGAAAAGGCCCTCTGCCTGGTTGCCTCTAACCTCACTTCTTGCAATGAGGGAGCCAACATATTCTGATTAACCAAGCTAGATTTATTTTGGGGGGACAAATTAAATACAAATACAAATGAAGCTACAGATTGTAAGCAACATCTTAAAGGAAGTGCTCTTTCTTTTCTCTCACAAGGGAATACCTGTACTAGGATAATGCTTGCTGCATCACACATGAGCATCATCTCCAAAATAAAGTATACCTTTCTTTTAGCCAGATTTTGGTCTATCAATTGACTAAGAGTTCTTGAATTGAGTGACATCCTTATATGTTTTCCATGGGAAGCCGTGTTCCAATGCCATCATGTAAGCCAGGGGTCAGCAAACTTTTTCAGCAGGGGGCCGGTCCACTGTCCCTCAGACCTTGGGGGGGGCAGACTATAGGGGGGGGATGAATGAATTCCTATGCCCCACAAATAACCCAGAGATGCATTTTAAGTAAAAGGACACATTCTACTCATGTTAAAACATGCTAATTCCTAAATCCATAGGCCGGATTTAGAAACCGATTGGGCCGCATCCGGCCCCCGGGCCTTAGTTTGCCTACCCATGATGTAAGCCACCTCTCCAAAACATGTTAAAGCAAGGATGGAGAAGCTGTGGCCCTCCACATATTGTTGAACTCCAGCTCCCAGCATCCCTAGCCAGTATGGACAAAACTGAGGAATGATGGGAGTTGTAGTCCAGCAACACCTTGTCTGCACCCTTTTCCTTAAAGGGTTGTACCCCATTTACTAGTGTCTGTGCATGCAGCTTCTAAATGCCAGTAATATGTGGCTCAAGCAGCAGCTGAGATGCAGGTGCTGTATGTGCTATATGCATACAGGCTGGCGCTCAGCCCTTTTAAACTGTTATTGCAGCTGCATATGTTATGATAAAGGTTTTCAGTGGTGCAGCATGCAGAAGATATTGGATCTAAATTGATTCACAGAGAAGAGGTGTAATATGGAGCTCTGTATAATTTTAACTGCATGTCAATCACAACCAGTTATCTTACATGGCAATGCATTTTTGGAGCTGTACAAGGTGGCACAGCAACAATTTCTAAGCAATTAATGTGCTTTCTATGTAGACAGGAATTATCAGTAAGTTCTGATGCCAATCTCTGTTGGCCATTTCACACACACACACACACACACACTCCTCCCTGTAAGTCATCTGAATTGATGGCCACCGCTACATTTAGTGAGTTTCATAGTTTTATATATGTGCTGTGTGAAGAAGTACTTTTCTTTTCTGTCTTGAATTTTCCAACATTCAGCTTTAGTGGGATAGCTTTGAGCTCTAGTATTATCAAAGAGGGACCAAAAGATCTCCCTAGCTGCTTTCTCCCCACCATTCATATTCTTATACACCTGTCCTCCCTTGTTCACCTCTTTTCTAAACCCCAAAATCTCAAATGATGTAACTTTTCCTCATATGGAAGTTGCTTCAACCCCTTGATCATATTGGTTGAGTCCTTTCTAGCACTACAATATTTTTTAGGTGAGATGACCAGAACTATATATAGTATTATGACAGTGGCAGGCTGTGGGGTCTCATATTTCAGCAGTGTGCTGAAATTCAGTGCTCCCATCTCTCACCTTCCATTCTACATCATCGTTGCAGCACCCTTTGCAGTTCCCCCAAGGCTCTGTGCTTTTGAACAGGTTGATTCCCTAAATCCGCCTCGGATTACAAATTGTGATTTCAATATAGAGTTGTACAATGGCGTTATGATATTGACAGTTTTCTTTTTCAATCCCTTTCCTGATATGACCTATAACAGGTTTAGGTTAAGGTTTTAATCAATTAACCCTGAATTTGTAACATTCCATCCTTGCACGCTGCAATGTGGTTGATGCAAAGGACTCAGTACTGCTTGCAGCAGTGTGGAGAGAGCAGTATAGAGCTTGGGGAAGGATTGTCAGACAAAGACTGAACAACTTGGCATCTGAACGATGCCCAGTTAAAGTGCTTGAGGTGGTCTCCAGTCTTTCATTTGTTGCTTCCTTGACACCGGGCACAATGGATGCTAAAGTGATGAGGATCACACATGCAATCACCCACTGCAGCAGGTGTGTGAAGCATCCTTCAAGCACCTTTCCAGAGCCACCAGGAAAGGTGTCCTGAAAGAAGCGTCCAGTTGCAACCAAATGATGATTTAGTAATGATTAATGAATTCATTTATCTGCATCTTCTTTAATCCAGACCATCAATTTCATTTGTATATCAAGAGATGAAACCAGGAGTTTGAACCCATGCTAAGTGCAGTCCTGAAGGACAGTAGTTAATTATTAAAATACATTATTGTATTTTAAAAACCTTGGCATACAGCTCTACTTTTTTATTTCAATAGGTAATAAATATGTTAAAGGTGCCTTGGTAGAACAAGATTACCAAGGTAATTGAATTCTGCCTGAAAACAGAAAGTTGCAGAGGGACGCGGGGTTCTACTATGGGGACTTTCAGGCTCATGAACTTCAGTTTCTGATATGAATGCAATTCTAGTTAAATGAACTGGTAGAAGGTGGTCACTAGAGGCCAAACTTTTTGAATCGTTGGTATGTGCATATATAATACCCTATGGCTGATTAACCTCTGAAAGTAGCTTGTTAAATGCTCCATTACCTGATTTGTGTGCACACAGCATCCCATAAAGTTGCTAGTATGAATGAAAAGTAAAGCTTGCTAAATTCAGGTTTACTGTGCTTTATGATATAAGAATGCATGTTATTCACCAGCAAAGGTTGTGTGAATCTAAAATAATAAATCATAGAATCATAGAGTTGGAAGGGAGCTCCAAGGGTCATCTAATCCAACCCCTTGCAATGAAGGAATCTCAGCTAGATCATACATGAGAAATGGGTTTAGTAAGTCTCTACCTAAAGTTGAATGTTCTGTTAGTGAAACTGAATTCTTGCTATTCTGTGCGTGTGAAAATATGTCCTTTTGAATTATAGATTTATAGGAACCATCAAAAATTCCCTTCTCCAATGGAGGGAAAGAAGTAGAGAAAGCCTTCTAGAAGGGGAAGCTCCAGACAACCTGGAGGTTCAGCCCACTAACAGTACAGAGTCATCTTTCCTTCTCAGTGGGTCATGGGTTGGACAGGGACAAGGCTCTATGATTTCCAAAATCAAAACAGTGTGTTAACTGTCAACCTACCTGGAAGTGGAGTCCATCTGGGCTCCTTGGGGAGGGAGAGGAGGATATAAATTCAATAAATAAGACGGTAAATGTGATCCCATTCCACATTTACTTTCTGTTACGATATAGAAGCAATGCAGCCACAAGCTGCTAGCTTGAAAACAGCACATGATGGAATGTTAGGACTGTTCCGTGGGAAACAGAGGGACAGTCAGTTCACAGGGCAATGCACCGGAATTAGCTCAGAGTGTAATATGAGCTCTTCCTTTTGCTCTTGTACAGGAAGTACAGGAAGTGTTTGTCTCTCGACTGCTGGAGCTTGAAGAGAGCAGTCATGCTTTTGTAATGCTGCAAAGACAGAAATAAAGGAATGTGAATACGTTTCTGTCTATCTCTTTCCCCTGCCGGGGGGGGGGGCAGGAAAGAGGGGGTGTGTTCTTCTCACGCCGAGAAGAATCGCCTATCGCGACCTAGCCTGTATCCTGCTGGGGAATGCAGACAGGGAGGTCATCGGGAGATCAAGCCGGGTGCCTGGAGAATTGCCAGTTTCTCCTGATAAAGGTTTGATTCCCAACACTTTCCCCATAATGCATTTGCAGCTGTATTTTATATGCTACTTTCACTTACATTCCCTCCCTGGCAAGAACGGTTTCTAAACCCATATATGAATTCTCATAAACTAGTCCAGCTTTCTCATTCACCTTTCCTCACAGACATCTACTTTTTCCTCAGTCTTCTCCTTCCTTTGTATTTCTGCTTACATTTCCCTTTCTCACACAACCCTATCCTAGTTATTTGGTGCCTGTGAGTACTGGACATGTGAAGGGGTTATTTACAATGTCCATGGCCAGCCGTGCTCCTGATGGCGCACGTTTGGAATCAGACTGAAGAGGGCTTCCATGGCTAGGGAGGAAGACATGCACAGTTCCCTCCACAGGGTTGTGAAACTTGGTTTAGGGAATTAGGGAGCCCCATACTAGTTCAACTGTATGTGCATGGGCCTCCCTGTAGGTGGTACTGAGGTTAGCTGGACATGTTCTAGGGAGTCACCTCATGGATTATTTAGAGCCATTCCAACCTGGATTCAGGCCTGGCTGTCTAATTGATGGACACAATGATGCACCTCCCCGTTCCAGGTACGGAAGCTGAAACAGCTGGAGGCTGCTGCTGTTGCTCCCCAACAGCAACTGTACCCTGGTGCAGTTGCCTCACTGGTGAATGGAAGGGCCAACCATGATAACTGCCACTGCTTGCATGCCTAGTATCAGAGGTCACAATGGCTGCAGTCTATTTCCATTGTTGGGAGCAGTATGCTTTTGAATGCCAGTTGCTGGAAATCACAAGTGGGAAGAATGATGTTATGCTCAGAACCTGCTTATGGGCTTCCCACAGGCATCTGGTTGAGATCTGGACTAGATTGTCCTTTGACCTGATCCAGCAGTCTCTGCTGATGTTCTTACTTCCCCCTTCCATGTTGGTAAATTTAACTGATTCTTTGACACTGATATATACATCTGTGTATAGCCTTTTCTTTCACTTCAGGCTAATTTACACCCCCCCCCCCCCCGTAAACCAATGAGCAGCAAAAAAGCAAGCTGCATCTAGTACTTGACCCCTTTCCATTGAAGGACATTAAAGCCACAGCTTGAGGTTCCTCCATATGCTGTTGCAGGACCTCTTTGCACTGCAGATGACAGTGGGCAGCTGCCTGCTGGGGACTGTTGGGTATTGGGAGGAGGAGGAGGTAGAAAGAGAGTCTCTCATTGACCAACACTTTTATGCCTGAACAAACACAGTTAATTCATTTAAAGAATATAACACCATGACACTCCCTGAATGATTTCATTTTCTTTGCCGCAATTCTTCGTTCAAGCAGAAATACTTGAATAGTGATTACTGGGTATATTAGTATAATTCATACACTCATTTTGTGCTTTAGAATATCAACATGTTGTTTGACTAAGCAACCTTGTTCCCTATTGTTGTTATTGCAAGGGGGAGGAAGACAGTACATTACAGAATTTTCATAATAAAAAGGCTACACATGATTTCTGAGTGTCACTTTTCCATGCATTAATAAAACCCAAAGGCATGTCTGTTCCTGACTATTTTTATGCTGGCATGCCATAACTTCCCACACTTATAATGAACAAGCATGTTGGGAGTGAAAGCACTATTGGATTTAGTCATATTAAACACTGAAAAGAAAAAAGGGGAATAATTTTTTTCCAAAGCAGTTAGTGATTTGTTTGCATAATTCCTTGGGGAGCAAAAGAGAAGAAAAGGGTAGGAAAACTATATATAATAAGAAGCAAAAAGCATAGCATAATAGGCTTTCAAAAAACCTCCATGTTTGCAGATGCAATTTTGTAGCGATGTTAAATTATAGATGCAAATGCTTGCCTTTAAAATGCCAGGAGGCTTTTTATAATTTCATGTGTGTGGGGGGGAGGGTGGGTGGGCTGGAGTTAAGTGTAGACATTTGCAAAAATGAAGATCCTGTAAGAAAAAAAAAATCAAATTGACAGTTTGGTAATGCAAACTGTGCACCCTATGTGCATAGTTGAACAGAGGGGCAAGAAAATATTATTATTTGGATGATGGAATAAATTGCACTGTTTGCTAGCTACCTCCCCAATAAATACATTTGTCATTGCTGACCTCCTGTTTTCTATCCCAATAAATGTATATATGAAAACAACATTCCTCTGGCTGAGTCTGGGATGCAGCCAAGTACATCAGGGTTCCTGAAGTCCCACATTTAACACCTATGGGTAGAGGTATTGGGAAAAGAAGTTCTTGCTTGACCTCAAGGGAATATGACTACTGTGGAGCATGGAATAGTTATGGTGCCAGGTAAAGACCATTTGTGAGCCTTTACTGCATAATTTCTCATATTACATAATGAGAGTCTGTGTAGTGCTTAGAGTGCTGAAAGGGGCCAGGGAGACCCAGGTTCACATACCCCCTCAGCTCTGAAGCTCACTGGATGGACTTGGACCAGTCACTCTGTCTGTCAGCCTAACTTACCTCACATGATGATTGTAAGGATAGCACTTAAGAGAAAGGGGAACCATGTACTTGGGCTCCTTGGAGGAAAGGCGGGATAGAAATGCAATTTCTATGCGAGAGAAAAGCAAGAATTTAATGTTGGCTTAAACTGAATAAAATATAGACATTTTCTCTCGCAAATATATTCCCACCATATCCCTTGCATAATCTCTCTGGTGCTTTGTTCTGAGAGAGAACAAGGATAAATTCTCCCCCCACTCAATATACAAATAGATTAGTTAAATGGCATGACAAAACTCTATGATTTAGAGATTAAAGTTCATTTTTTGATCTTGAACTGTGTTTTGAAACAAAATAAAGTAGTCTCAACATTTTAGAAGGCCATCAGTGAATACTGTGCTAAAGTTCTAGCATATGCTAGGAAATCTCAGCCAGCCAAATCCTTTTGACTCAACAATGCTAATGTCTTCTTGGAGGTAAGTCCCCACTGAGTTCAATGGGGGATATGTATTTACTTGGGAGTAATCCCATTCAACACAGTGGGGCTTACTTTTGAGGAAATATATGCAGAATCGTAAAGGATGGCATTTACCAAGTGCCATGCACCAGTAGTCTCAAGACCAAGCTGGATAGACCAGATGCTAAATGCATCACTGGATGCTTCATTTTTTTAATTGCTAAAAGCAAGCATGGGTGATTTCCATCAAGCCCTTGGTGCACAGGGAGGGGGCTCAACCCTTTTCTACCCTGCTGTGGTCATGATGAAAATCGTGTCCACCCCTGTGGTGGCTATTAGTCCCAGGAGGAAACTTCCATTAATATCTTGAACAATGTATTGATTGTGCTACACTTGAAGAATACAGATCATAAATAAAACAGTGGCAGAAATGTGCAGTAGACTGACGTCTCAAATATTTATTCCAAGGAGTATAAAGCACCAAATCTGGGATATTTTGGGAAGACTTTCTCCATATATATTCCTCCACCTGTGAGTTATGATCTTTGAAAGCCACACATGGCACCACTGTCTGAGGCTGCGTATAACTCAGTTCTATTTTTTTTTGGTGTGTGGCAGCCCTTCCATTGTGAAATTTTCTCTTCAGGAAGATTTGCTAAGCCTTTTCTACTGTGTTTTAAGTGAACTTTGTAACGAAGCTTTTTATTCAACTGGGGTCTGCTAGAATGGTTTTATTTGATTGGTAGAAATTCATCTGATTGAAAACAATGTACTTACATTGGACCTGGCAGAGCATGATACTCTGTGATTCTAATTTGATTTCTTCTTTAGTGAATTCTTATTACAATTTTCACTTACTATTATTTTAGAAGTATCCTACCAACTCAAAATGGATACTTTCAATAAAATGAAATATATATTGTTGGTGCGATATGCATCTCTCTTGGGATAGCATTCCATAGTTGTGGCACCGCCATAGAAAAGTCTGTGTCTCTTGTATATACACTACGTACTTTACCTAAAGAGGGAGAATGGAGAGTGACCTCTGCTGATACTCCTAATGCATAGGTAGCTTTCAAAAATGAGTTCAATATTTTATTTGCAGATACTGTAAGAATATAAAATAAATATTAATATACAGTATAGCCAAACATAAAGCCACAAATCATCTGGTTGCCACAACTCAAAGAGGGTGTTGTACTAAAGTTCACAAAAGGGCAACCAAAATGATCATGGGGCTGGAACATCCTTCTTCGCAATTGAACATAAGAAGAGCACTGATGGATCAGACAAGTGGCCCATGTAGTCCAGTGTCCTGTTCTCACTGTGGCCAACCAGTTACCTATGGAAAGCCCCAAAGCAGGAATCTACCTGTTGGTGATTTCCAGCAACTGGTATTCAGAGGTGACTGCCTCTGGTAATGGAGGTATAACATAGCTAGCCACCATGGCTAGTAGCCATTGATAGCCTTATCTTTAATGAATTTGTCTAATCCCATTTTATAGCCATCCATGGTGGTAGCCACCACTACATTTTGGGGGAGCAAATTCCACAGTTTAGCTAGGTGCTGTGTACTGCCACACTAGCACCCAGCCACATTGGATGACCATTGCTCCTACTGTTATACTACAGTGCTATAGGAGTTCTGGGTCAGAAGGCAGCTTTTGCTCATACAGCTTTATGTGCAAAGGTTCCATCACTACCTACAGCCATGATCATTACAGGAAAGCAAAGGGGTGGGACAAGTTGGCACAACTCTGCTCTCTGCTCACCTGTTGAGAAGCACACCAGCACCAACACCAGAACAAGACTGTATGGTCTGTTAATTTCCATTGATACAACTGTCTTGCTGGTGCTTGTTTCTCCTCCCCTCTTCCCTGAGTCTGATGTTTGGGTTTCCCACCCTTTAATCAATGTTCTTAAATAAGACACATTTCCTAATAATTGCGCACTCTCCATACATAATGAGATAGTTCTGAAGCCTGTGGAACTTGGCAGGGAGTAAGGATCTGTCTGCATTATGAGAGCTGTTTAAAAAAAAATGTGAAAAGTCTCTCTGATAGTTTAGAAATATTTTTGCTTCTTATGGTGCAAAGCAGTCCTTCTCTCTCAACTGAGTATGAGCACGAATGATAATTTATTTGTACAAAATAAATTGCATGCATAGTTCTCTAAACAAAAACAAAAGTAATTAACTGCAAATTACATGGTATTGGCAACTGGTGTAGAGTCTTGGGCTGATTTGTTTGATTTTTTAACAGCACTGCATCCCACAGTGCCCTCTTCTGAAATAAATGTGGGACTTTGGCAGAACTGTTTGGAATGGCTGGAAATCAGAGGATCCCTTTAGTTCGTTTGACAATATTGTTTCCTTTCCAGCACATTCTTGGATATAATGTGTACATCTCTGCTGTTATTTATTCAGATGCACGGGCTTTGGTCAGATCATCAGAAGAACAGTTCCAAAGAAGCATCTTGTTCTATCAGGGCCTGGTGTACACTTGCAGTTACATCACTTTGCTTCTCTACTTACTAAGATGCTTAGTGACTGGCAGCCAAATGTGTGAACTAATTCAATGGAGAAATATTATGTTTTTGATGGACCATGCCATTCCTTCTCATTGGAATCACTAAGTGATGAACATGCATATGTAAACCAGACTTTTTAACTGTGTTAAAATGTCATATAGGGGATGTGCATGTCCAGCCAGGAGTTTAGGAAATGGTGGAAGTGCCCCTCTGTCAGACTCTGCTGACAGAAGGGGAGAGGGGCTTCACTACAGCATCTGCAATGTGCTGAGCAATTGGAAAGTTACCACCAGTAGCAGTGGCATAGTGTGTGGGAGGGCCACGGGGCTGGTTGCCCTGGGTGCAAAATTTGTTAAGGGGCACACAATTTCAACACACGGTGCTCCCTCAATACAGCTATGCTCTTCCATCACTGGGTTCTGTTGAAAATGGCTTGTCCATGCAAACCAGGAAGTCATCTCCCCAGAAAAACTCTTATTTTCTTATCTCTGTGACTGCAATCTCCTGGGTGGCGTGGATGCCATTAGGCAGTTGAATGTGCATGTGTACTCTGTCCATTTCATTCCCTCCCTCCCACCCCGCTCTGTGTGGTCCGGGGCACTAGCAACCCATGCCATGCCACTGATCAGTAGTGTTCCTGCTGGTGGTTGTAAGCACAGAGCCATGAAACGAGGTGTTCCAAGGTAGAAACAGTCTATGAATCTGCTGGATCCAAAGCTGCACGATTCCCCTGAAAGGCAGTCATTCCAGACCCTAAACTATTCCAGCCCTGTAGCTAGTGCTCCTGCATTGCTTTGAATGGGGAGAAATGAAATGAAAAGATCTGCCAGACAGAAAAGCTTGATGAAACAGGCTCCATATTCTGCCCTTGGTGACACAAGCCAGCAGGACTTTGCTGTGTCCCAACCCCACTTAGGATTGCTTTGTTCATTGGGCTTGGCTAAGGTGTGGGCAATGAAGAGTATCCGACAGGATCCATTGTTCAAAGCAGCCATATAGTACATTGTGTTAGTGTACTATGAGGCAGGCCTAAGGAGGCAGTTTTGAGAAGCCCTTAGGTATAAAGTTGTTTCCATTGCATTTACAACTACAGTTACCGTACCCTTATCACAAAGTGCTTTGCCAAAGCGGAGTAAATTTGTTAATCTACAGCAGCAATGGGAACACAAGAAGATTCAGAACTGGGGCGTAGGTGGTTAATCCTTCTCTATGCAAACCACATACTGCATTATTTTTATTTCTCACGGGTGCTCTCTTTTATATAATTGATTTTTTAATACATGTTTCATTGCGTCAGTCTGAACTGGCTATATGGTGATACCACTAGAAAATTATTTTAGAAACTTCCTGGTGCACTTTGCCCTGAGATTTCCCATCTGCAACTTTGCTTATTGTATCATGGATTGCTGCTCAAGCTGTTGCTCTTTAAACAATTTTCTTGTTTTCCTACACCCCATGAATAGATTCCTTCCAGTTTACCAATTTACATAAACACTATTGTTTAG